TGTACATATAGATTATGTAAGTGGTTGTGGTATTTTGCTCTAGCTGGTTGTGGGCTAAGTGTTTGTGATTACTAGACTTGTTGCGGGCTGGACTTGAACTCGCACCCAACAAGCACCAACAAACATTTGCAACTACAACACCTTTGGTGTTAATAGTTTGGCATTTTGGGTTGTTGGGGATTGTTGTAGGGCGAGGGTTGGGATGGTAGGGTTTGACAAACTCGTCACTTTTCAGATCTGAACTCTTGATATAGGCATTTGTAGATCTAATCCATGGCTGCCAAGTAATTCCGTCAGGATACCCCGTCGCACATAAATCGCGATAGCGATCGGCCTAGATCTTGATAGAAGGCATGCTATATTTTTCTGGAGATTAGAGATTAAGACCTTTCTAACGCGTACCTACTCATATTTCAAGGTTACGTGAGCTGCACGCAATGTTCCATCATAGTCGGTGGACTTAATCTCTTGTTACGCTCTCCAGATTCGCGCGCTTTTCTTAAGTGGTTTCAGAGCTGGTTAGGCCTGCAACGTTCCTTCCTATTATCATATTTCGAATAGATTAAGGAACTCCAGATATAGGGTTGGTCATGGCCCAAAATTTGGATAGCCCTCGTAGGTTCACCGGCTCAGATTTTTCGCTACGGTGGTTCCAGTTTACGCTTTGGCTATGTATTAAAGACCTACAGGGCGTTTTGGAGGGGTCGGAGGGAAGACCTGAAGCTGATGAAGGAAAGGCATCTACTGGAGTCTCTAGCCAAGTGGGAGAAGGGGCCAGGGGAGCCTCTAGATCATCCATAAATGAGAGAAGTGGATGTGGATCAGCAGCACCGCGAACCGGAAGGCAACGGCTTAGTGCGGAGGAGCTACTTAAGGCACAGGAAGCATGGGACCGCAAGGACAAGCAAGCGTTCCAGACCAGTGTTGGGCCTTGGAAGGCCAATTAGAGCTCCTAAAAATGCTGATTGGCCTGAAGGGGAAGGAAGGAGCAGCTGCCCATGCATAGAAGGAAGTTCAAGTTCGGCACTTGCAAAAAGGACTCCTAAGCATACTCACCTGGAGGAAGCGGTTCTACACCATGGAACGCAACTATGGTGATGGGGAGACCATGGTGCAGTATCTCCAGAGGGTGGATGAGTATGTGAGAGCCTTGGAGGAGTTGAACTACAAAGTAGATGTAAAGGAGATCATCTTCACCGCACTCCAGGGGCTGGACCAAGAGGCGAACGAGACCATACTGCAGTACCTTCACATTGAGCAACAGAAATGGACCAAGGCCTGGATATGG